AGAGCAGGGAGGGAAGGGAAAACAACTTCCCCAAGTCCCACAAGTTCTTCTGGCCACTGTACAAATTGTTCTTGAGCATGGAGAGTTTCCAAAAGCCCTAATTAGCAACTCACAGCAAACATTTCTTTGCATTAGCTAATGATCCAGCTACACTTGTAAGCAAACAGAACCAACATATCTAATCAATGCTGAAAAACCAACCAAATGCCTATTAAACATCTGGATGTAATTTTCCAGTTAGAACAGAATGAAAACATATGCAGGATCCTTTGATCTGCGTCTTAACAAAGAAATTGTTGATAAAAAAGCACACTGGTCAGTCAACGTGTCATTTTCTTGCAGCCTGCTCGTTTCTCTTCATATGCTCCCAGTTTAATTTAGCTGGTTTCCTGCAATCTCTAATTTTACCATATTGTGTGAAACCACAAGAGATTCTTTGGACATGATTTTATTTGAGGTTTCACTGCTGCATGGATCTGCTACTGATTGTTTCTTCCTTTTCTGCCTTTCACCCTACCCCCCCCCCACTTAAATCCATCCATTCTTTTCTTTTTTTTTTTTTTTTTAACCCCTCTTCCGGACACTACATTGTTAGGCTGAAGAAAACTATTTTTCCTCAGACTTGGTGATGCATGCCTGTAATCCCAGCAATCAGGAGGCTGAGGCAGTAGGATTCCTGTAGCCCACCTGGGCTACACAATGAGCTCAAGTCCAGCCTGAACTACATAGTGAAACTGTTTCAAACAAAACAAAACAAAGAAAACTCACTTGAGGAAATGTGTGAGCACTAACTCAGAAAAAGAAATGACAAAACTGATCTTTGAAAACTGCTATAATTATTTTAAAAATAGAATTAAAAGATGTGTAATTTTTTTTGCAAAAAAATTGGTACTGGGGATTGATCTCAGGGCCTTTGCACCAAGCTACATTCCCAATCCTTTATTATTATTATTATTATTATTATTATTATTATTCAGAGACAGGCCTTTGCTAAAATGTACTCTATCCAGCTTATAGCCTCCTACAGTGTTGGGATAAGAGTCACATCCCACCATGCCTGGCTAAAATACATAATTCCTATGATTAGTATCCATGTATTTTCCTATTATGTCTAGTGTCTACACTATGTAACATTTAGTTTGGTAATTAGGTTACTGAGTTAAAAATTTGATAATCACTAACAAATAAATGTAAATACATACATTATATATATAAAGATAAACAAGTTAGTCATGGTGATTCATGACTGGTATCAGCCCTGAAGAGGCTGAGGTAGCAGGATCCTCAATTCAGAGTCAACCTGGGCTACACACTGAGAACCTGTCTCCAAAAAAAAAATAAATAAAATAAAAAAGGTCTTTGTTTCTTTGGCTGAAAGAGGTACTGTTTTTGCCCAAAACTATTTACTATGAAAGCAGTGTGCTTAACATTATTTCCTGTACAAACATCACTTGTATTTGAATATGTTAAAGCTAAAGAAGATTATGGTTACTGAAATTATAGATTTCATGAGTAGGACTTTTTTTTTAATAGACTGTAGGGAATCTGTACATATATTATTTATTTAAAACTAAGATTAAAGCTGCTTGATTGTTTAAACCCCTCATTTGTAATATAGTGTGATGAGTTTTGTAGTATAATTACTACAGCATGACAATCAGAGAAAGTCTGACCTTGACAAAGGACAGAGCCTCCCCCACGCTCATGGATGTTCAAATAAGAATGAAGGATGCCTTTAAAAACCACCCATCTTAAAACATGCAATTAGAGGACTTTGTTTTCAAATTGTTGTTCTTTCTTTCTTTTTTTTTTTTTTTTTGGTATTGACTCTGTCTGGCTCTTTACACTGAGCTACATCCCCAGCTTTCTTCCCTTGCTTTTTATCTTGAGATGGGTCTTGCTGAGTTCCTGAACTTGTGATCCTGCTGCCTCAGCTTCCAAGACTACTGGGTTTACAAGTGTCTGCTACCTCCCCAGGCTTCCACATACTACATTTTAAGGAAATCACAAGGGTTGGCCTGGTTTTGAACTCTATTGGTATGGAAGCATGAGCACAAAAATAATTTATGGGTTTTACACATAGCAAGCTGGGAAATGTAGTTGAGTGTGTACATTTTCTGTGAACAGTCATTATGGTATATTTAAAGAAACTTTGTTAGTATTGACTCAGAAGGAATTAGGGTAAGAAGCATCCACACTTTTGCTCTTGTCCTCTAGCATCCTGTTTTAATTTTCTGTTTAAGTAGCAGCTTGTGCCTGTCATTGAAAGTACATCTACCACTAAATGAGCTTTCAGAAAACGGGATGTCCTGGGACCCAGCACGGTTTGGGACCAAAGGTACTCCCTGCGCAGGCGTGGAGCTGACCAACGGGTGAGCAACCACAGACCAGCACAGCAGACCCAGGTTTTGTGCCAAGAGGCCCACAGGCCTTCCAAGGAGAGAACTCAGGGCCTGGGGGGGGCCACAGGATTTCAAATGACCTGAATGTGCAACCTGCTCCACCACCACATATTGAACCAAGACAAGAGGCAGGCTTTCTATGTTAGTAAAATCAAGTCACATAACCGCCTTTCTCAAAACACTCCAAACCCAGCACGTTGAACTTAAGAATTTACTATGGCCTTCAGCTCAAATTGCTCTTTTATTTTTCATTTATAATTGATATTTGCGATTGATGCAATTATAGACAAATCAATAACATACATATTTAAAAACTCCAACGGAGAACTGTATTATCTAAAATGATTTTTAATATTTCAAAGATCTTTGTGAAAGCTCGGCTTTGAATAAACCTGTGTGTGCTTAAATAAGCTGGGGTGGGGTGTAAGTAGGACAGAGCTCAGTGGTACAGTGCTTTGCCAAGTATGTGCAAGGGCCCAGGTTCAATCACTAGCACTGAAAACCAAACATCCAAACCAAACCAAAGCAAAAACAAAACAAATGAGTCAATGCAACACAAAGCAAACCTTCCCAAAAGTCTCTAAAAGATAAAATAATGGGAATGGGAAGGGATTACAACACCAAAAAGTTGTTGGCTGGGTTCTGATGTAAGGAGAATGTTCCCCTTTCTTTCGGCTCCCAGGCAATAACAGCTCTGCTCTCGGAAGTCAGAAGACAGCTTGCCCACAGGGTTCTGTGGAGGAAAGTCCACAGGGGGCAGGTGAGCCGTGGGTTGCGAGAAATAGGCCGACCCGGGGCCACTCCTCACGAGCTGGACCAGCCTCTTCCCAAGGCCTGTCTCCGTCCCGTTCCGACAAACCCCCAGATTCTGGGCTGCAGATGCCGCTCGGGCCCACTCCGCGGGCGGCGCCCCGAAGGCTCCTTGGCTGGGGACAGCCTGGGTCCGGGTCCGGCTGCTGCGAGGCGCCTCAGCTCTCGGCCTCCCCGCAACAGAACGCGGGTTGTCGCGCGGGACAGCGTCTTCTCCGCCCTGGGTACAAGCGCGCCTGACACGACCCCGCGGGTAGGTCAAGCCGTCTACGCCCCAGCCCCAGTGTTGCCGCCGCGTCGCTCTCCCGCGCGCTCCTATCTCGGGGACGACCCGTACTCTGGCCCCGGCGAAGGGCGGCTCGGAAGAAGCGCGTCCGAGGCCAAGGTGTCACCCCGGGTTTCGCAGCGAACGGAGAAGCCTCCTCGCAGGGACAAGAGCACCGGCGGCTCTCGCGAACTCCGCCCGCAGCCCCGCGCCGCAAGAAGCCGCCTCCTCCCGCGCGCGCCCGCGGTCCCGCGCCCCACGTTACTTTGATTGACAGCCCGGCCGCGCCGCTCTCCTTCCCACCGACCTTCCAATCCTCCGCGCCAAGCCCCGCGTCTCGCCGCTTCCCATTGGCTGCCGGCGGCGCCCCGCAGCTCCTCCGGAGCGGCGCCGCGCGGAGCCCGGGAGGACGCGCCGGGCGGAGAGGGGCGGGGCGGGGACTCGGGCGACGGCACAGCCGGCCGGGAGCTGGGCGATGGGAGGGGCTGCGGGCCGGCCAGCCGGCACGGCGTGGCTATTGGCTGCAGGGAGGAGCGACGTCAGCGCCCCACGTTGGGTGCGCCACACACGATTGGCCAAAGCGGCCGGGGCTTGCGGCCCCCGCCCGCGCAGGGCTGGGCGGGGCTGGTGCTGGGAGCTCGGGAGTGTGAAACCGCGTGTTAATGTAAGCGGCGCGAGAGGCGCGGGCGGCGGCGGCGGAGCAGGCGGCTGCAGGAGCGGCAGCGCCGGCGGCACGGTGCCCCCCGCGTCCTCGAGGCTGCACAAGGCACCACCCTACCCTTGTCGGGTCGGCCGTGACTAGGCGGTCCCGCGGCGTGGACACTGCGCCGGACTCGCCCGCGGAGTTTGCCAGGCGGGAGCGGGGCCGCGCGGGGCGCACGCCCGGTGTTCTCCGTGTCCGGTGGATGTCTTCTCCTGGGGCGTGAGAGAACTTCGTGGCTGCCCGGAGTGCCCTGGGCGGAGAGGGAGTCTGGGGCCGGCGAGGAGGCGCTCCGCGGGGCTGGGGTGTGAGCGGGGTCCGGAGGGGCGCGGCGTCCCGATGCGCGCCGGGAAAGAGCGGCCGCGGGCGCCTCGACTCGCCCGCGCGGAGTAGCCCGGGACCGCCGCAGGCCGACTCCCCTGGCGCCCTCGCCTGCCACGGGCCGCGGCTGCCCACGTTTCTCGACCAGACTTCGCTGTCTCGCCGGAGCCGGTGAGCGCCCGGCCGAAGATTCAGCCGGGCCCACGGGAGTTGTCCGGGGTCGCTGACGGCTTGCTGGTGTGGGGCTCCACGAGCCGCCTCGTCACCTGCCCGTCGCCGGTCGCCTCCGCTGCGGCAGGAGAGCGGAGAGAGCAGCCCGGCCCGTCGGACCCGAGGGGAGCGCACCCGGTCCCCCGCCCAACCTCGCGCCGGCGGCCGAGCCCCACGGTGGGAGCGCGCCCGCGTCGCCGCGCACGTTCTCGGGGCGGCCGGGGCGCTATGTGGTCCTGAGGGCAGGGCGGAAGCCCGCCTCGGCCGGAGCAGGAGCCCGGCGCTGACCGGACGGTGCGCCCCTCCGAGAGTGCCCCAGCGCTCGGTTTCTGTCAGCTCTCCCGGCTAATTCTCCTCAGCGGGATTAAAGTTGGAGATTGCGCGGAGAATCGAGTTGTCCGGGAACAGAGCCTCGGCCGCCGCCAGAGCGATGTTCCCGCAGAGCCGGCACCCGGTGAGCTGCGGCCCGGGCGGGTGGGCGCCTGCTGGGGAGCCCCATGTCTCGGGCCGGTGTGTGCCGCGGTCTCGCTTTCCCTCCCTCTGGACGCCCTCCTGTCGACGTCGAGACTGGCGGCCGTGGGCTCCGAGGAGCCAGTTTTCTTTTCCCGGGCGTCCCTTTCATCTCGCGTGTTTACCTGGTGTGTCTGTCCTCTTGGCAGTCCCAAGGTAGCCTGGGGCTCGCGCAATGAGGGCGTCGGAAATTTTCTTCCCTGGACCCTTGGGTCCTTATTGTCCCCGTGGGGAGCGGGTGATGACTCCGAGGCCTGCCCTGGTCTGGGCTTCTCCGGCCTCCGCATCTCCTCGGTCTCGGTCGGGGGACCCGGGCGCTCTGCGTTGGGCGCGGGCCGCCCTGGTGTCTAGGGGTTTCTGGAGCCTTCGGGACCGGGGCAGTGGAAGATCACTTTTTTCTTTCCCGAAGGGAAGCGTAAACCAGGTGAAGGCTCCTTTGTACCACTTCTAACTTTGTTTTGTGTGTGTATGTGTGTGTGTGTGTGTCCGTCCGTGTGTCCGTGTCCTTGTCCGTGTCCCATCCGTTTCCCTTTCCAACCCCGCCAACTTTCGGATGTATTCTGCCCGCGTTGTCTTTCCTCCGTGCCCCTCCTGGTGTCCCTAGACGCCGCACCAGGCGGCAGGCCAGCCCTTCAAGTTCACGATCCCGGAGTCCCTGGACCGGATTAAGGAGGAATTTCAGTTCCTGCAGGCGCAGTATCACAGGTGCGTGCTCGGCCGCGCGCGAGTGGTCGCTCGCTCCTGCGCCCCTGGGCGCCCAGCCGGGCGGCGGCAGCTGTACTTATGCTCGTGTCCAGGCGGTGGCGTGTGTAGTCGCAGTTAAGACCTGTCATTCATGGCACCCCCTCTCCTGGCTCTGGCTGGGCCGCCCCTGCTCCTGTCTCCTCCTCCTCCCATTGTTTCCCTTTGGCCCGTTTGCTGCTGTTCCTGGGAGTCCTTTTTCGTGTATTTAGGAGTTGCATGAGAACCGTCAATATTTGCACTTCATTTATTTATTTTGCAACAGGCAGAGCTGAAACATTGGTTCGATCGATCTATGCCTCAGCCCTGCAGTGCATTTCAGAGGAGCAGAGCCATGTTGAAATGTCTGTTTGCCATAGTAGAAAATTGGGTCTTCTGAGGCAAAGTCCATTAGGGAAAGCCGTGTGCTTTCAGCTGTGTGCATCATGGTGACTAGCAGAAGGTGGAGCGTGTGGGAAACCTCACTGCTCCCTTTGCCCTCATTTTGGGTGGTTTTGCGGTTGAGTAAGGGAGTGGGGTCACATTTTCGTTATGTCAACTTTAGTTTCTTCATTGAGTGATGCCTCCCATCAGAGCATTTTTAAATGAAAGCTGTTTATGAAGTACTCTGTCCATAGTGAATTTCCAGGGATGGTTTATTTCCCTTGCTCCTGTGAGGTTATGGCTGACTGGAGAAAGAAATACTGTCATGACTATTTTTACTCTTGTTGAGCTTGAGAAGAAAGCACAGATGAGGCTAAGTGGCTTGAGTGTGAGTATTCTTCCCATTTTGTCAAAGGCTTTCTGATTCTTGACCTCTTGTCTACTTGTAGATACCATCTCCAGAGCTTGAGGCATTCTTGCACACAGCATGTATTTACCAAGCAGGGAGAACTTCGACCCACTTCATTGCAGTAGCTGCTTGACATATTTTGGCAAGGATGTAAGAACCAAAGGTTTTGAAAGGGACCAGCCGTTACAGAAGTAACTTTACAGATAAGATTTTCAAATCTAGAGACTGTTTAAGTTGGCAAAAACGGCACAGCCCATGCTGAAGACTGAAGATTATGCAAGGGCCAGATTTTGGTGCAGTCCTCAGAAACAGTCTTGAATGCAAGCAAATAGGGGGCACATGCCCAGGAGGAGGACTCTATTTTGACAGTTTTCATCATGGCATCTGGGTAGGTAGGCACCAAGAAGGAAAAGATAGTTGAATGGACACCTTATGCTGTTGTCTCACTCCATTTCCTGTTAAATGCAAGGACAAAGCTTGGGTGTGTTTACCTAGATAGTTTATGGCTTTTCCAAATTGATCTTTGTTTTTACTTGAAGTGCAAATATGTGAGGCAGATGTTAAAACAAATGACGTAATGTTTACATTAAGTTGCCTGTTTTGTTTTCATAGTCTTAAACTGGAATGTGAGAAACTGGCAAGTGAAAAGACAGAAATGCAGAGACACTATGTGATGGTAGGTATCAAAGACTGGACCTTTTTCCTTTTCATATTCATATTGGCAAATAATGTGTTGTTAGCATTACAACAGTGTGAGTTAGTAAAATGTTTGGTTCTTTTTTCTCTTCACAGTATTATGAAATGTCATATGGATTAAACATTGAAATGCATAAACAGGTAAGCTGTAGCTAAGTCTAAAATTGAAATGAGAAATCAGGTTATATGATTTTATATAACACTGGTTTTGTCATTTGCAAGGTGGAAGGTGGGCATTTGTATGTCCTTTTTCTGCCTTGGTTCCCCTCCTGCCTAATGGTAGTGGTATTCTGTAGTAGTGGTTGCTTCTCTTGTCTTTAAATGACTAGGTGAGAGAGGTGGTTTCAAGCTGTAAGCTAGCTTGTTTAAAGTATATAAGAACTGAGACTCAGCCTTGACTTTTCTGCCTCCATGGGTATATATTCTCCCTGGGGGCATGTTGTAGAGTTGCTGAAGGTTATAATACTTCAGTAGTGGTGTTTCAGAGTGAAATAGGGATCTGAGGGGGAAAAGAATAGTTAGGAATTTCTTTAATCAGATCAATAGAAGGTATATAACAAACTGTGGAATACTTTTTATGCTTTAAGTTTGCATAAAGTGATGTCCAGGATTAATGGTTTATTAGTAAACATGTTTTTGAAAGTTTCTTAGTTGATGCAGGTTTGGAGATGAAAAAGGATCCTTTTATTGCTATATAGCATATGTTGGGAGTTGCTTCAGTCCTAGTGGTTTTAAAAGCATGAAAAGATTAGTGACTGGAAAGCTTTAGCTATGACTATGAGTTTGCAAGTTCCCATAAAATTCACACTTACGGCTACTATAATGGTGTATAAAAAGAGTATTGAGCTGGAACAAGGCACTAAGGACCTCGTAAGAGAAGAAAAGCTAAATGATTGCTCAGCCCAAAGGACCCTCAATTGAGTAGTCATTGTCTGCCAAAGAAAGCATTAATGGCAGGGTGTAAGTATTCTGGAGATATGCTGACATTCACTTTTTCATCAAGACACTGGTACAATAAGTCTTTCAGAAATCGATTGCCTCTTAAAAAATTATCATCAGATGAAGTTGCACAGTTGGACACATTTCAGAGTGCAACAATACAGTTTTTACTTGATGTATATGTGCTATTTCATCTCAAACCCTTGTTTCATTAAATTAAAGAGCATGGCTGACCGGCTGGGGCACAGTGGAGAAATTGATTAGTTCAGCCTTCAGATCTTCCTCATATTCAAAGACTTTCATTAAACAAGTGTGTTTCGGAGTTGAATTCTGCTTTTGTAACTCTTCACTCTTTGATTTTTAATTCATCATAGATTTCATAATGTTAAGTTATCGTCATGTATGTTAGATCTTTTTTTCAGATATGTGTTTGGAAAAGGACAGCTAAGTTCACAGACATTCATTAGTAAAATAATTGGGCCTTTTAAAGAGCTTCTGATTTTACTTTGATTTGCAAGTCGGTAGCCTTGTTTATGTTGGGTTTGTGCCTTTGTTTTTTTGTGTTTCAGTGGCTAGTGCCTTATTGAGGGAATTGTAACTTATTGATAGTAAATGACCTAGCTTTTGGAAGATCCGTGGCTATTAAGGTCTTCTATGTTAATTTTGCAAATAAGTAAATATTGCAAATAAATAAATTTGGTCCAAGCCTGCCACTCTTAAAATTATCCTGAAGAACATGTTTTTTGGTAACACATATTCTGGAAGAGTAAAGAGAAATACATAAATTTGAAGGATTAACAACTTCATCAGTCTACCAAGGAAATGCCACCGGGTGTGATGTTGTGTGCTGGTGCAGTTACTAGAGGAGCTCACAGAGGTGTGGGCTTCTTCAGAGTTTCTGGAGGTCTAAAGGCATGGTGACCTTTGTTTATCATGTGGGAAGAGGGAAGGAGGGGCAGAAGCTGCTATTGTGTGAAAATGGTTTTCTAATGAGTTTGGGCACTGCATTGGCATGTGTGGGTATATACTGTCTGTCCATGAACCTGTGTGCATTAGTAATATGCTGTGTATAATTGACCAAGTAATCTGAAAAAAGAAACTGAGAGATAACCATGTTCCTCATGGTAGAGTTTTAAGCCCCCAGAAATTTGGTTTATATTGTAAATGCTGACAGACCCTTAACTAGAGTAGTGTACAAAGTAGTGCTATAATTCAGTTTAAAGTGGTCTTACATTTGAAAAACATCCTTCTGAATGTCACACATTAATAATAAGTTCCAAGGAGGCATTTGGTACAGCTAGTAATCATAATTCTTATTAAAACTGGTGACGTTTGGCCCCCAGGGTGTAGCCAGGCTCAAATTGATGCTTTTTGCCGCCTGATCACCAGCATGGCCTAAGTGCTCATTATATTGTAGAGAGGGCCTTTGGAGCTCTCATTAGATTTGACAGGAATTCTCTCTAGGGGGAAACTGGGCATTAGTGAGACTCCTGACAGGCTGAAATTATTCCTGCTTTATGGCTTATAACCAAATGCTAGCAAGGCATCATCAGGGGACACAAAAAATTGTCATTTTTGACAACATCTTTGTTACTGAAAAAAATGCAGTGATGGGGAAACTTTCCACAGAGAAGGAGAAGGAGAGCGCGCTCTAATGCTGTTGAGATCTACTTCCAGGGGGCTGTGTGCTTCCCACCTTTCAGTGAGCTTGTCTGGATGGAGAGAGTTTTGCAGAGTTCCCTGTCAAGTCTCACTGCAGACTTTTCTGTCTGGGAGTTATAAAGTGGCAGCCGTCCAAATCAAGAATGGTATAATTGTGGTTTCATAACTTGGTGAGGTGCCCCACAGTCCTGTTTATGTTGTGTCAACACTTCCGGATAGGCCTTGCCCTTGCTGTCTCCGCTCCCATTTGTGGCTGATTACTGAAAAGGCTGAGGAACTGGATGGGATAGATGCCTAAGTCTTTTATTATAGCCTTAAGACAATTTCCCTCCTCTATGCTTTTTAATAGATCCCTGCCTGTCCATCTCTATCCATGTAGATAGTAAACTTCAGCTTTTTCTAAGCAAGAGGAGGCAGTGACTCCTCTTGAAAAATGGAAGTGGTTCTCAGAACTTAGCTGAAGTGAGCTTCTGTGTGTCTGGTTGTTTGAATGACTGGCCCATCCTGTGTGGCAGCCAGATCTTTATATTTCTTTGCTGTGGCTTGGTATTATCTCATTGGATATTTTTGGAAGCATGGTGTACTATAAATGCATACATAAGTCTACATGTCCTACTTGTGTATCTGTGCAGTGTGCTGGTAGAGTGGGCTGTAAGTTGTCATTGGTGGCTTCAGTTTTAGTTTTTAGTAGTGATTGTTTCCCCACCACCTCCATAGGCACCTGGCAAGGTGGCTTGGGTATGCCATTGCCTGGCCAACAGCTGTGGGCGTGTGCTTAGAGTCCAGTGCCCGTGGAAGCTGTGGATGGGTCCAGGCCCAAGGTCACCAGCACTGCATCCTGGTGTGCTAGAGTCTCCCTCTCTCTGGCCCTGTGTATCCTACCCTCTTCAGCTGAGCAGGAGGCCCCCCACTTGTGCCAGTAGACTTCATGACTAACAGGTCACAACGGGACTAGGTGCATGTTTACCAAGTTAGACAAACTGGTGCTGGATTTCTGTGATGTGAGATCTGGGTGGGGGATCCCAAGCCAGGGGTACATAGGAAGTTGTATCCATCTGAGTAATGCCATGCTAAGGTAAAAGTATGTTTTGAGAACAAAAGAAACATGTCAGGAATCCTGTAGAGACTCAGCGGTGGCGTGTGTGGCATTACTGTGCTCACATTCTGTTGGGAGAGTGGGCAGGGAGCCTGGAACCCTGCAAGGCAGTGATGAACTGAGAGCTCCTTATTTTTTTATTTTTTATTTTTATTTTTTTGGCAGAACCGGGGATTGAACTCACGCTCTTGCGCTTGCCAGGCAAGTGCTTATTCTACTAAGTCATCTCCCCGGCCCCCTGAGAACTCTTTAAAGGGCTCACCCGCAAGGCTGGAGAAGATGACCATTCTGTAGTCTTAGTTTTGGGTGAGTGAGAAGCAAAGGTTGAACATTTACAGACTATGTGATTTCAGCAAGCACGGTGACTCAGATACAAAGTTTAGATTGGGCTGGGAATGTAGTGTAATAGTGGAGAGCTGGCTCAGCAAGCTCAAGCACAGGGTTAGGGTCAGACATTGCTTTCCCAGTTTTGATGTGTGCTTTAGAAAATTGTCTGTTGTGGTAACACACACCTCTTAATCCAACAAATGGGAGGCTGAGGGAGGAAGGTTTTGAGTTTGAGGCCTGTCTGGACTACATATTAGGGGTAAAGTGGGGTTATTTAATGGGATTTTTTCAGAAGATGAAATTATTAGGATTACCGTGAGTGTTAATTCCCTAGATATGACATTTACAGTATATTTTACTGCCCTTTCTGTTTTGTAACTATGTATATTTTTGTCTGCATGTCACACTTTGATGTTTCTTATTTTCACTTTGGTTCCTGGGGAACCCCCAGGGTTACACATGCCAGCCAAAATGTCTGCGGAGCCACACACCTCCGCAAGTTGTTTTGTGCTTGGTTTTGTTTTTCCCTAAGTCAGAATCTCAGACCTAGAAACAACTAGTAGGAATATAGGCACTTGGAATCCTGCTCTCCTGGTGTAAGTCACCTTGTCATACAAAGAGGGTGGCTGTCATCATGATTGGAGTGGTCTCTAGCTTTGCTTTTATTACCCAGGCCTCTCCTTCACAAGCAGTTTACAGAGATAATGTCTCAGTGTATTGAAAGCCTGGATGCTGCTGCAGTTCTTGAGGCATGAGATCAGACTGTGCCTGGGGGCCACCAAGCAGGGCTGATGTCTCCCTGCTGAGCCTCCCTCTCCAGCACCTCAGCACTTGGCCATGGCTGCTTTCTGTCCAGGCCTTGGACATGAAATTTAAAGGGCATCAGAAAATTTAGTAATCATAATAATATTTAAAAATTAAATTAATGCCCTCAAATCCACAGTGGCTAAAGTACCACTGTTTTTTCCAAGGACACAGCCCATCTGGCTTGGGCAATTGGGGGAAGGCAGGGGAGAGTTGGGCCACACATGTTTGAGAGGCTTCCCCACTCCCTTTAGTGTCCTGGGGACACTGTGACCTGTAGGATCTGCCTTGTGTCCTTTGAGGCCACTCACTT